TAATTCAATTTATTGTCTAGGCAAAAAGTAGACAATTGAAACTGTACAAGTCTTATTAATTCGAATATGTAAAATGAAAAAAGATGAAAGTCAACTAATCAGAATCAACTTGCATGCTCAGAACATCTTAGTATCGTATAATCCATGTAAAAAAAAGTAAAAAAGTGCCCGTTGGTTACATAAAGTAGATCAATATTTAACAAAGATAAGATTGTTTGCATCTACCGAATGCTTAAGCGCATGAAACAAAATACATGATGTGACGAAAAAAACACCAAGGTAAACTATTGACACCTTCACAACTAATAATATTTCTCTTGTAAAATACCTTTTCGTTTTGTAAATGATCTATATTATGAGTTGTTTCGTTACTAACTGATTAATTGAAAAAATAAAAAAGCCTGTCAATCGGTATAAATAGTTGTAAATGTACATACCTCTTTACCTCACATTGACAATTTGAATTGCCATTTATAGAAACATTGTAGAAAATGCAGAACACGTGATATCAAAAAACCCTTTACATTTACACACTATGTGTCAAGAACTCACTAAGCTATCGATTGGTAAAAAAAGAAAACTTTTGTATCCTTACTTCGTTTCTGAAATTTACGACTTACAAACAAGACAATTATGAGATCATTAGAAAAGAACTTCTTCTTTTTGAATTGTCTTTCTTCTACCTACGAGAAATACTTATCTTGATGATGTACTACGCAATAAATATTGACGACGGTTGCTGCTATTGAATAAAATGTGTTTAAAAAGTTTTACATGGATTAGTTGAATAAGAGATTGTATGACATAAAATGGCAACCGTTGCTGCCATTGGGAAGTAATGGATGAAAAAAAAAACTAGAAACTCTCCTCTAAACGCAATACTTGTTAATATTTACGCATAGATAAGTAAAGAGACTGCTGTTATTTACTAATACGATTGTCATTTATTGTTATATAAATGTCTAGCATAGGTGAGTGTTGGTGTCGATATCGCACCAGATAAACTTCAAATTATTCATACACTCACACTCTAATTCTTTTAAAATCTTATCATATTCGAAGTTGATGAAGAATGATTCAATCATCAATTATATCATTTACTTGATGATGTTATCATTTCGAGAAAAATAGATTGTATGTACGTAGAAAGTTGTTTCAAAAACACATTTGTAGAGAAAAAAAAAGAAAATATTTTTTGTGTGTTAGTGTTTTTCTTTATTCATATTTTGGAATCAGAAAAAAATTATTGTATTTTTTCGAAATCAAAAAGCTATTCCCATAAGATTAAACATAATTTTCATGTCGCAACCTTCAAGAAGACGAAAATACTTTGTTTCAATAGTTGTTTTATTAGTGAGTCTTCTGGACGCTTAATACGAGTAAAGGAGTACTAGATTATCATCAATGAGAAGACCGGTTAAGATTCTTAACGGCACAAAAGTTTTAACTGACAATAGTTATGAATTAAAATATAAATCACAGTAACAAATGCCTTAATTATTTTTTTCTTCAGATGTGAGCATGAGAAAAGCCATATGAGGTTTTGAAGGAATACACATTACGTTAACGTACGAGAAAATTGATTGTCTTTTGATTCATATGACTATAGTTACTTTTCTTAACTGAGTTGTTCAAGCCAGAAGGTCAACTTCGTGTAGACTTATTCTTATCATGACGCAATCTTAGTTTAACTATTATTCTTCTTCTGATCTTTCTCCTTGAACAAAAAAAAAAACATTGCTTATCAATGCTGTTTTCATAATATTTATTCAAATTTCGTACAATAAGTTTAAACTGTTTTTCGGTATACAATCACTATTATCGTTTCACGACTAGAAAATATAAATATTTAAATAAACAAACAACACACATAAGACTACGTATTTACAAACTTTTAATCAATACTAATTTCGTTATAATCATCCTGTAGCAAATAATATTTCAACATTCACATTTTCTTTATCATTATTATTGATTTCTTTTAAATACCATTGTTTCTTTTTTGTTAAGATATTTTTCCAAAATCCATGATAAAGAAGAATCATATTAAGATAAAGTCGTTCATCATTAGTCATTATTCGTTGAGTTTTCATTTCACTTGGAATCCAAATATTTTGACGATCAAATTGTGAACAAATAAGACAAGGAATATTACCATTAACAAGTCCACCTCGTCGTTTAGTTGCCATAATAAATTGTCGACCTACATTATTTTTATAATTAAATTCAATTTCATTTAATGATGATGTTTCAAATAATTGAACGAATTGTAAATTTAAATTTGAATTTTTATTCAAAAATAGATGTAGGAAAGTTTTAAGTGGAAGAAAGGGTAATTCTTCAAATAAATTTCCATCTAAACTTTTTGTAGATGGCAATACTTTTGATAAATCATTATTACGACCACGACGAATTATATTCCATTCATAATTTGATTGAGCTTGTTCAATAACTACACTATAGGTATGATACATCGAAGAATGTCGATCACTGTAACAAATCATATGTGATGATGGTAGAATTATATTTTGTCGAATATCATGAAGATTAATATAAATTTGATTATTTGATTGATTTTTAATATATGGATAAATATATGAATCGATTTGAATAAAGCCACCTGCTTCATCAACAATTGAAAGGTCTAACTAAAAAGTAAAGACGTTACATATACATGGTATGTGGTGCGTAGAAGAGTGTCACGCCAATGAAGAAACTTTTCTAAGGAATATAAAACTTTTAATTCAAGACTATACGTATTATGGATACCGAAAAGAGTTATAAATATCCTGAAAAGTGTTCGTGCCTTGAGCTTATTGCTATGGTGCCTGTGCACATTTCCGATAGTTTTATAAATAAATACCATAGTTCTCCTTAGGAACACCAGATAGACTAATTGTCGAATTTCAAATTGAGACTTTCTATAGACACAAAACCTTAACGAGAATAGCTTATTGTGAAAGTTTTAGTTGAAATCTGCCGACTTTATCTGAGTGATGTAAAAGACACATTATTACCATAGTTGTATCGTAGGATAGGAATAGAAGCAACATCTGAAATATTCACAAGAGATTCTACTTGTTAACGTCTGTTTCTACGCAAGGTGTCAAGTCGAACTTCGAAAATTAGATGTCTAATATCTTCCCAGTAATAAGCTGAGAGCACCAACTCTTTTCAGGACATTCATAGTTCATTTTGGATGTACATAATGAGCATTGTCTTGAGTCAAAAGCGTTTTATCAATATGAGGACTTTCTTTGTAAGGTGTCTGTTATGGTTTGTGGAGAAAGGGTGCAAGTTTCTGTCCTATATACTAAAACACTTCTGTTAGATCGTATTCAATAAAAAATTAATTAATTTCTTACACGTTCTTCAAAAAATGATCGTCGTTGAGCTATATTTGTTGATAAAATACATGTAGAATTCATCTCTTTTTTTTCTGTTAATCGAGTTAATACTATTTTTTCATCTAATATCCACCGATCTCGTGCTTCTTGACGTATTTTATTCAATGTTTCTTGCCATTCTTTACATTGTTCAATAGAATGAATACCATTATTAAAATTAAAATTTTTTGTAAGATTTACAATAGATAAAACACCATCAAGCATTGAAACACTTAATAATTGATAATTTGACCAATCTGAAGTATCATTTAACGAAGATAATTCATCATAATAAGTTTTTTCTGTGCTTGTCATTTCAATAACAGGTAAATTTCGAATATCAACTAAACAATTTTTATGTGGAGTATGTGTAAAAATATTGAGAACATAAGAAAAACGAATATAAGGAATATAAAAACTATCATTAAATAATCTATTTAAAAGAAAACGATTTATTAGAAGAGATCAAATTGTATGCAACAAAAACTTACCGATAGATAATCGGCATTTGATAATCGAAAAAAGTAACAATACCATAATGTTTTTTTGTTGAAGGAAAATCAACGGCACGTATCTGTTGTTTTGAACGAGCAAGTGAAGGAGTAGAATGAAATATTGGAAAATCAAAAATTTCGTTTTGATGATCATTCATCGAACTCATACATCTCATATCATTATTAAAAAAATCAAAACCATCATCAAAATCCATGATTATATTGAAATTAACTGAAAATAAAAACTAAATATAATTATATACTTTAAATTATTAAATTAATTCAGTCATAATATAAAATGAAAATATTTCTTTTGACACAACAATATATTTAATAGATATTTTCATACATGTTCATATCGAATAAAATTTAAACATCGATAAATTTCGAATGCATTTTTCTATGTACATGACTGACCTGATGTGAAAGAAAAACAAAACTGATCGCAATTATACACATATGATGATAGAATTGATGATTCATGAAATTCTTTTATTCTTTTTTTTCATCTAAATCTTTACTACAGATGTTGCTCATCATCAAGTCAAATGTATATGAAAAAAAATTAAATTTATTACAAATCTTCTTAAAAAAAATATATATGATAACTATGAAGACATATATTATCTTTACCACATATTAACTAAATTCTGATGTCGTAGTAGATTAGGTATAATATGTTTCAGTTTACTTAATGCATTCAATTATTATATTACATGAACAACATGACAGTAGTATTAAGTTGAGAAATAATTTCATGAATATATTTCTATTTTTTTTACGGCAACTTAAGTTAATATATAAATTAAGGTTAAAGAAAAAAAGATCATATCAGTAAACGAATTAAGATTACTTTATCGACAACTAACGACAACTATTTATCAATTTTAGCATCACCATACGGGTCATGGTATTATATGGATAAAAAATATCATGCTCTTGTTTCATATACTGGGCAATATTAGGACACCGTTAATGTTATCATTTTCATATTTCTTTATACACATCTAAATCATACCTATAAACATAATTAAGAAAACACTATATGCATATCAAGTCTCTAAATGAAATGATTTATTATATTTAATATTTTCTTTTCTAACCATTCTAGATATAAATTATGCGTCATAAATTTCGTTGTGGTCGCTTAGTATTAAATCGAAATGGATTAGTCAAAAAAATTAATCTTTCACATGGTGGTGGTATTCGTGATTGTAAATTTAGTCATATTGATATTGGTTTTGACGAGATTCACGATAAACTCCGTGATATATTCATACCGAGTAACAGAAATAAATACAATTCTTATTATTTTTTTTTTTCAATTTATCTCATAGATTCACCTAATCGTGTTTCGATGTTATACGATTTTCAACGTAAAAAATTAGATACTAAACGATATCAAAATTTTTACGACTATATTAATCAACATGGGTTAAAATTTAATTCAACGTTATTGTACTTATGCTTACCAGCAGGTTAAATATCAATATTTTATTTGATAGTGATTATTTTTTTTTTTTTGTAAATAGGTAATGAACGTATTGCAAATTCGACATCAACTGAACAAAGAAGAAGAACAACAACAACACAATCAATACAAAATCAACCTCAAGTACAAAAAAAGTAAAGGAAAAAAATTTAATAATTAATTAAAAAAAAGAATCTATTTTTTTGTATATAATAGAATTCCTTGTATTGAAAATATGATCATTAAAATTGATGAGGATGATGATGACTCATCACATAATCATTTATCAACTCAACCGTATAATATTGATTTATTTTTCAAAAAAAAAACTACGTCCTCTTTCTTCTTCTTTCAGATTTCCACCTGTGAATCCTATAGCTGAAAATCTTCGAATGTTTTCATCAACATCATTTTCAAATTATTCATTTGAAAAATCATTAAATGAATTCGTTGATTATCTACGTCATTTAGTTACTCAATACAAACATGAAAATATATTTCTTCAATTATTTGAACATATCTGTGATATTAGAGGTCGTTCATCGAATAATTTAGACAGATTAAAACAAGAAAGACAAGTAATAGATGATAAACAAAAAGAAGTTTATGATGATATTTTTAATAAAATTGAACAAACATCTCGATCAATTAAAGCATTAATTGAATTAAATAAAATTAAAATTTCTCATATTGATCCACATGCAATTATTATTAATGCATTTAATGTATTTCATCAAAATTTCAATGTAAGCAATTTGAATCATGAAAGTTTTTATATATCTCTCATTATCTCATTCTTAAAAGAAACTTTATTTAAAAATCGATAATATAGAATCGTCTAAAAGTTCTGACTTCTGCCTATTTTATATGGTTCGATAGAATTCAACAAACTCTACAAGAAAACAAAGAAAGATTAATACAAATTTCATATATGCAGCTCGGAAAGGTTATTTTCACTTTAGTATATGATACTATATTTAGAAAACATCAATTATCAGTGAATCAGTTAGTATTATTAAAAGTTAAGCTTACTCTTTCGTGCAAGTTATTGAAGGTGTTTATTATTCTGTTTAGTTTTCTCTATGTTGCGTTGACAACAGGATCAGAAGTTTTTTTTTAATATTCATCCACTTGTAGAATTTGTCGAACCAGGTAGAAATTAGTATTTTGCTGGAAAATGTAAAATGCACAGTTGTATTTAATAAAGAAACTATAACTTTTCATGATTTCGACGAAATTCGAACTAAGTTATTTTCTTTTCAAATGTTAGTTTTAGAAGTTGAAACTTTTGAACCATCTTTTAGTATTTAGAATAGATTCTACTAGAATTTATAGTAGTAATTGTTGATGATTTGATTGGATTGAGTTCCAGTATTTTAAGATGAAATATTATTCAATGGTTCTCGCATGTATATATTTTTCTGGAAAGAGTATAATGAGGATTGGTCGCTATGACAATTAGTTGAGGTGTAGTATTGGTCTATCTCTTTTGAGACATATTTCTTCATTATGAATTGAATTCTGCAAATATGTAATAAGAGAGTAGTTCATGTATTATAGCGAGATGTTACTGATATATGGTCATTCATTATATATCAGCATTATTTGTCAAGACCTGTGATGATCTCTATATCTCTAGTTCTAATTTCATTTTATTCGATATGCTCAATATGTTTCATATAATGACTCCTTTTGAATTAGTTATGATATTATTTTGGGAGTGTACAATTTCAGTAAAAATATTGAAATACTGATTATATTGCAGAGCTGTACGAATTATTTGTACTTGAGTATACTAGTAGCTATTAATATTATTGCGATGTTTCTTGATCAAATTTTCAAGTGACATCCGTATCTTAGAAGGATGATCAAAATTTTTGTTGATCTTATAGAGGAGTATTTCAAAATGAAATTGTGCAACATTATCAAATGTCGCCAATAAATTAATTTCAACACAGAAAAAATAAAACATTTTGAGAGTAGAAAAATGGTTTTATTCGTTTTTGTTGTCTTAGATGAAATGTGTTGTACTAAAATAGTACGAGGTACTAGTTTCTCTACTTCGAAGATAAAGCATATAGCTAATTTCTTCGACTCTCGATCTTTTGTATAAGTATACTCATTTATATGCAACAATTATGCTGTAACGGTGTTGAACACATAACCCTGTACTATTTGTATATATTTTTTGCAAACATGATGTAATATTCCAATGTTTTTTTAAAACATATTCTAAATATTTAGACTCTACGTGATCAATGGATTAATAATAAAAACAACAATCGACAAAGTACATCTGTTCCTTTAAGAAGTCCTCTAATTGATCGAACATCATCAAAAAATTATTCAACTGGTCGAGTATCATCATCATCATCAAATCGTTCATTTCATCCAACACCATCAACAAATTATTCAGCTGGTCGAGTACCATCATCATCAAATCGTTCATTTGGTCAACCACCACCAACAAACTATTCAGCTGGTCGAGTACCATCATCATCAAATCGTTCATCTGAACAACCACCACCAACAAATTATTCAGCTGGTCGAGTACCATCATCATCAAATCGTTCATTTGATCAACCACCACCAACAAATTATTCAGCTGGTCCAATACCATCATCATCAAATCGTCCATTTGATCAACCGCCACCAACAAACTATGCAGCTGGTCGAGTACCATCATTATTAAGTCTTTCATTTGATCAACCACCACCAAGAAACTATTCAGCTGGTCGAGTACCATCATCATCAAATCGTTCATATGAACAACCACCACCAACAAATTATTCAGCTGGTCGAGTACCATCATCATCAAATCGTTCATTTGATCGATCACCACCAATAACCCGTTCAACAAGTCGAGGAGCTTCAACTAGTCATTCAACTTATCAAGCACAATTAATAAACCGTCCAGTTGATCGAACATCATCAACAAACTTCTCGTTTTCATCATCTCGATCCCATTCTGAAACTTATTCTCGAAAACAAGCACGAACATTATCATCATCACCTCATCGGTCATCATCATCATCATCATATCAAAAATCAACAGAAGAAAACAAAGATAACAATATTTCATTATTTAGAAATGTAAGTTTCTATTAACTGAAAAACAAAATTATAATTTCTTTTGTTTTATTTTATTCAGATATTCAAATCACTTGATTATTTATTGAATGTTTTAAGTCATCTACGTTTCACATCATTCTATCATTATGTTAAATTAATTATCGATGAAATAGAAACTTGTCGATCAACTATCAAATTATCTAATTATGAATCTTTATGTGATGTCGAAAAAAGCATAGAGTCAATAGAATGTCGTATTACAAATAGAATGAATAATGAATATAATCATGCATCACCACATACAATAGATCGACAGCTTGAACATTCATATCGTGAAACATTAGATTCAATTCGTCAATTATTAACTTCATTTCGTGTTTATAAATCACGAATAGAAAACAATAAACGAGCAAAAACAACGCGTTGGTCATCATCTGCTCTTCCATTATGTGTTGAATATCAACATATTGAAACTAAACCAACAATTCAAATAAATCAACTAGATATAAAAATCGATGATGATCAAAGTTCTGAAGCATCACATTCATCATTAGGTGATGAAGTTTTAATGGAAGTAGCAAAAACTGCATACGAACATAGACCACATTGTTAGAAATAAATTAAAACTTGTTTTTGTTTTGTCTGTTATCATATGTATATATTTTGTTTTTCTTTTGTTGGTGCTTGGTTTTCAACATTTAGATAAATGATTAAAAACTAAAGAATTATGTTTTCAGATAATGAATAATCTTCGCCGATTCATTTCAACAACTCACTTATTACGAACAATACAGTAAGATTATTTCTGAATCCTAGCTAAACAATTGGTAATAATTAAATTTTATATTTCTATAGACCTAAATCATGGATACCACGTCAGTGCAATATGACCTCAACGGCGATCAATCAATCTTTATACAATTTTTCTGAAGAAGAACGAATGATTAAAGAAACAGGTTATTTATATTTGTTAATTATTGATTAAATTAATATTAATTCTTTTGAATAGTTGCTCGATTTGGTAAGGAACACGTTGAACCTTATGTTCGTCAAATGGAAGAAGCAGGTGGATTCAAACCTGAATTAATAAAGGCAATTTTTGATCAAGGCGTGAGTCATTGTTTTGTTTTTTGTAATTCTGTCTAATACATTCATTCTGCCAAATAGTGGTTGGGCATTGAAATCCCTACAAAATACGGAGGCAGTGGTTCCAATCTTTTTTCATGTATATTGGCGATTGAGGAAGCTTCAAAAATAGGTTAGAAAATTAAAAAGAAAAAAAAAATTTTTTTCTTACAATAGATTAAATAAGTTTCCGAAAAAATACGTTTTTTTTTTATTCATTTAGACAGTGCTTTTGGAGGTATGAGCTAATTCATCAGTATTATTAATTAAAGTGTAGTTTTATTGATTAAGGTTTAATTGATTTACAAAATACAGTTGTGAATCCTTTTTTTATTCAACTTGCTAATGATGAACAAAAAGCCACTTATTTGCCTCGCTTAGCAAATGATATGGTAATTCATTTGAACAATATTATTTTCTGCTTTTTTTTCTAGTTAATGGCTATCGATGTTCCATTGGAATATGGTGGTTCAGGTCAAACATTTTTTGCAGTAACTCTAGCCATTGAAGAGATGTCAAAAATTGATCCAAGTGTAGGATTATTTATTGATCTACAAAATACGTTAATGACTCGACTTTTTCTCAGTTATGGCACAGAAGAACAAAAACATCACTACTTACCACGATTGGCTAAAAATCTCGTGCTGTTTTTTTATTTTTTTATTTTCTTAGTAAATCATAATGAAAATTTTTTATATGTTTTTTCTTCTACTTTAGATTGGTAGCTTTTGTTTATCCGAACCAACATCTGGTAGTGATGCATTTGCTTTGAAAACAACAGCAAAAAAACAAGGTGATTATTACATATTAAATGGAACAAAAATGTGGATATCTAACGCAGAAATTAGTGGAGTATATATTGTTATGGCCAATGCAAATCCACAAGCTGTAAAAAAAAAAAGAAACAGAAAATAAAAATTTATTTGAAATATTATATTGTCCGGTTTTTTTTCCTTTAGAAACATAAAGGCATTTCAGCATTTATTGTTGATCGTGATACACAAGGTTTACGTATTGGAAAACGAGAAAAGAAACTTGGCTTAAAAGCATCCTCTACATGCCTTGTTCATTTTGATGATTGTAAAGTATGTATCAATAACAGCGATCTATGAACATAGGATAGATTACAGAATATTTTGCATCCGTAATAGGCTAAACTATATTTATAAAATCTCCACCCGTAAGTTAAGAATAAGAAAAAGGAGAAAGCGAATCATTTTATGTCATTTAGATGCAATGCAACAAGTGCTTCTTATTTCTACATCACAGTTTTTACTGTATAAACTTGATACCATCCCGAAAAAAAAGCATATCCTACATTTGTCTTGAAGGATACCTCTCTGGTTTTGGACATTTCTAGTTCTCCAAGATGGCACAACCCATCACACGAAAACTTTCACCACAGATAGAGTACAAAATTATAATCTCGTCGAACTTGATTCGATTGAACTGAAATTTTTTTTTCAACTACATCTAAGAGGTAGTTTTTAAATGTTTCCAAATATTTCACATTTTTAATGAAACAAAAATAAATAAAGTTTCGCAGCCGGAACTGACGTCTTAGGTTCATGATCCTATAGATCTGAGTACGGAAGTCAATTACGAAAACGATCGATTATACTTGTAGAGAATACTTCCAAGTATCAATAGCAAAAAATTTCAGCCTAATTGAACAAATTTAGACGGAAGCCGTAAGCTAGCAGAGTGTAGCCCAATGAAAAATCAGAATTTTACTTATTTCTAGCACTCTATCTGTGATAGAAAGTTCAGTTTGATCATTTATATCGTCTTCGAGAACTACAAGTGGTCAAAAAAACAACAAAGATATCCTTAAATAATTTTTACTCTGGAAAAAACAATTTCCGATCTGTTGCATTGCATAAGATAACTATGGTGAAACAGTTTTCGCAACAAAAAGGAATTCTATTATGGTAACAAGAGTTTCTCGTACAGTACTTCTTCACTTTTGAGAAAAGAGTACTACTTCAAGCCATTCGTAATGTAATGCTCAACATTAATCATACTAAAAAAATTCATTATTCGCTCAAGAACGTTTTCTAAGTCTACTTCACTATGAAAATGCTACTATTCGTTAGTGAAACCAGTAAAAATTTTTGACGTTTATACAAGAATTTTGATGGCCTGCATAAGCCTATAAATCTGATCGAATGACAAATAAATGTGTGAGCCTATTCAAGTTTACTGGCTTTGTTGTCATTGGTATAGATTGAATATTTTGAATTGTATTACAATGTATGTCGAACTGCAAAAGTCTAATTTAATGTCTGTTTACTTTTTTATTGGAAATATTTTTATTGATTCTTGATAATAGTATAATTTCATTGTTAATTGAGAAACAGAATCAAGTTAAAGTGTAACTGTAAACTGTATTAGCTCAAATTGGAGATAGACACTGGGTCCCGATTTTTTTAAAAATTTAAATCGAATTGAAACATTTTTATTTTCAATTTCTTCTCTTATTTCAAACAATTATCATGCAAACAGCTATGTCCATAGTAAAATTTCCGTATTAGTAGAGTCCTCATAACGGAAAAGTTCTGTGAAAATAAGCGGTGTTTTATATATTGTAAAAGACTCTCGTTTAAGTTATCTAATTAATTTTAAAAAAAAATGTGTAACTTTAATCAATATTTTTAAACGAAAGTATGTCTCATAGTTTGGATTCTTAGTGAAAAATCATTTCAAATTTTTCAAACTGTTGCGATTATCTTGGATAATATTATTAATTACCGAAGATTTTGATATATATGTCCATGCTTATTCAGTTATTATTTATTTTTACTGCATTCGTGTTAAAAAGAAAGAATATGTCATATTTTATTTTAACTATGATTTAATTAATCATTACGTGAATATATTTTTCTCTCTAAATGCATAATTCATTTGTTTAGGCTCTGATTCTCTTCAACCGAGAAAGATAAGAATATATTACAAAAACATCTGTTAGTGATGGGAAAGAATATGAAGAAATGCTCTTATAATTTAATAAGAACTTCAACACCAATTTCAAACCGTACAAAGTCATGTTTCATATCTCTAAATGATACTTCGATAAACATTTTTGTTCCTAAAATTAAAAGAATCTATATAAAATCGGTTTTTTACGAGAAAGTTTTTTGAAATCTGATCTTATTGAAACTTTTACTATAGATGCGGCTTGTGCTGTAAAGTCTATCTATCAAGTTTTCGAATTTTTTTCTTCCTATGGTTAGAAAGATATTTGCTAATTGTTTTTTAATTAGTTAATAGTTTTGTTTTGCCTGAATTACCCATATATATATATACTTTTACTGTCATTTATACTATCATTTATTTTATTCGCTTGCTTCAAATATTGAAATATTGATCTAAACTGAATTATGTCTATCCTCAGTTTTAATGTAAAGAAAAGTTCAATTTCATCTGATTATAATTAAAAATGTTCAATGCTTACTATTTGATTATAGGTTCCAGCTAAAAATCTTCTTGGTAAAGAAGGCGAAGGTTATAAATACTCTATATCAATGCTTAATGAAGGTCGTATTGGCATTGGAGCTCAAGTTAGTAAATTTTATCTATAGTTTGTATCTTAGATTATTTATTCGATGTAGATGGTCGGTATTTGTCAAGGTACATTTGACAAAACAATACCATATACCAAAGAACGTAAACAATTTGGTCAACGAATATTTGATTTTCAAGTATAATGAATAATGTATCCTTTTTGATATATTTAAAGTTTTCTTATTTTAGGCTATGCAACATCAAATAGCTTCATTAGCTACTGAAATTGAAGCAGCTCGTCTTTTAACATATAATGCTGCTCGTTTACGTGATGCTAAATTACCATTTGTCAAAGAAGCAGCAATGGCTAAACTTTATGCATCAGAGGTTAGAAATATTTTTATATGTTTTTCTTTCTCTATCAATTATATTCTACTGTTTATAGTTAGCCGGTAAAGTAACTAGTAAATGGTATGTATAGTTTTTTTTTTCCTATTTTATTTATACGCTTTTTAATGAAAAAATGAAATTTTAATTATAGCATTGATTTTATGGGTGGTCTTGGATTTTCCTGTGAATATCCACAAGAAAAATTTTTTCGTGATTGTAAAGTTGGTGAGTTCAATTTTTGTTTTTGAGAAATTTTAAAATATTTAAAAAAAATATATATAATTTTAGGAACTATTTATGAAGGCACAAGTAATATGCAATTAAATACAATTGCTAAGTTTATTGACAATGAATATTAAGTTATTTCTATTATGTGATTTTATTTTTAAAATAAAGTAGATTTAGATATATATGATTGATTAATAGAGAGAAAGAAAAAGAATAATGTCTACTAATTTAATCATTAACGGGTAATTTGGTTTGATAATTCAACTTGGGACCAGCAAAATTGTGTTTTTGAGCAACACGACTCAAAGCAAAAATGCATGTCTAAAAGAATAGCGAAAAAGAAATTCATAAATATGAGGAATATAATTGATAAGATAAGAAAACTTACTGTAACTTGTTGAATATTTTGTTTATCAAAACAGTCAACTGCTTGAAATACTTCACTTTGGTTAACACCATAGGCACTTGCAGCATCTTGAAAAAAAGCAATATTTTCACGTAATTTCATTGGACTACCTGTTGTATGAATTTTTGCTATTGAACCGGGTTTAAGTTTATTCATTAATCTTAAATAAGCGATAAATAAACGATATAGAGACGTATAGAATGTTAAAATATGTTTAAATTTTACTTGCAAAGAACAATTCCATTATGAAGAGATTCTTCATAGTCATTGCTTGGAAATTTTTCACCTGTAACAGCTTCAATCCATTCTCGTGCTGCTGTTTCTTGTTCAGGATCTCGTTTGCAAGAAATCTAAGAAATAATTTGATATTAGTATTTGTTTATTCGAGTATGGGTTATTCTTACTTTGCCTTTTACTGCTCGATCTAATGCCATCTTATGTCTTAACTGTGTTGATTAAAGAAAAGTGCCAGCAAATATATCCCAAATATATATACAACCGCAACCAATGTACAATATCCATCCGTAATGTGGGTGTTGTTTTTCTTCCTGTCATCCTTAATCTTTCGTAACTAGACAAAAATAGATAAGAAGCCAATAATTACAAAAATAGAGACCTGGAAATATGCAAAAAAAAACAGAACAAAATGACATGAAAAAAAAGTTATTTCCGGCCAACTGGCTTGCTGGTGGCTAAAAAAGTAAGCTTTTACTTAATATGGTTAGAAACCGCGTAGAAAAAAGAATATAACATTCTATGACAGTTCTTACTTTGTACACAAACATGCATTATTCATGTTAATCAGAAACAGTAACTGCTGCTGGTAAATAATGACATGTCAACAGAACTTTTCGTTAAACAGACAAATATGGAGCAGAAAAGCACATTCATATCCTATGATGATAATTAAATTGTTTAGATAACTTTTAATTTTTAGGTCTTTTTAGAACATAAGAAATTTTTCCTTGTTTTATAGAAATAAAATTTTTATGATAGAATTAAAAATTTTTATGTATTTTTTTAAATAAAACTAATAATGTGTCATCTTTATTCGATTGATCCCAATTGAGGACACTATTAAGTGTCCTCAGGTACTCGTTTTATTTTCTTGTTGTTTTATATTCAATGATAAGCAACTATAATGTGACCGTTGTCATCGTGTTCAACGTTTAAAGTAGGTCTATTATATAGAAAGTGAACTAATAAAAAAAAGCCATATTATTTTATTTCAAGCAAGTGAATATATGACGAGTTTTATTATTCTTGTCCGTTAGACATACTTGCATACACGGTTCAAATTATATGCTTTTCTCTTTCTCTTGTTCTCTTGTGATGCCATGGGGATAGACTCATGTTCAATTGGCTCGTACAAAACAAACACATGCCGATAATATAACAAGACTGCAAAGATCGATCATTTTATCTTTTAAAAAGAGAGAGAAAAAAAAATAGAACAGAGAAAATGAAAAAAAAAAAAAAAGGTTTCTTACGTCTGGCTACAGCATGTTTAGATATATAGAGTTGGGGGGGAGAGAAAATTTATACAAGATGTAAGACAATATGAACTCTTTCTCTTTTACGCTTTAGTTCTTGTTCTATGATTCGATAAGAAAAAAAGAACGAAAGAAAATATAGGTATGCATAGTTGAAAAGAGAGAAAAGGTGGAATCGACGTTGTTTTATCCACCTGAGAACAAAAGCGTACCTAAATCACGTACATATACACATACACATACACATACACATATCTGAAAATAACATAATCAAAAATGGCTCGTTGTATCAATGTTGCATGTTTATTCTGTACTCTATGTGTATTTATTGGTTTGGCTAGTCTTATACAACTTTGTTTGGGCATTTACTTAACTTTTATTCATACTGATACAGCTATAATCAATCGTCTTGTTAAAACAGATCAATTTGATTCATATCTGCTTTATATTCTATTTGTGTTTATTGGCTTAGGTTCGATTTCTTTGATATTATCTTTCTTTTCTATTTATAGTACTATTCGAAGACTTAAATCTCTATCATTATTTGTTGCTGTTTTATGGGTTAGTTTTTTTTTTTTTTGGTCGAATAATTTGTTTTTTCCTAATTGGTTCTCCACCATCTATTTTTGTTACGTAGATATTTGCAGCAGCACTTAATATTGTTATGCTTATTGTGTCATTTCTCTATTACTTTGCCATTCTTCCAGAATTACGTCTTTTACTTATACGTACACTTCAACAAACACCATTATCAACATCATATTTAATTGATTCTCTTCAATCGAAATATAAATGTTGTGGAATTAGTGGTAAAGATGATTACAATAATGTTCCATTAGATCCATTTCCTTCGTCATGTTGTCATGTACCAAATTGTTGGCGTGACCAAGATATTAATGATCATAATGGGTCAAATAGTACAATATCATTGATGCATGTGAAAGGTTGTTATCCAATTATTGATAAATATGTTACAATAGAATTATTTATACTTATGGGTATAGCTAGTTTTTGTGCTTTATTACAAGCATTAGCTATTATATTGATGTGTACTTTATATCAACGTTATAAAAATTTTGATGATGATCCAAAATTTGTTATTAATCATCTTGCTAGTGGAAAATCAATGAATAATAGCAATGATAATATGCAAGGTTCATCAAAAACTATTGAAGAAACAGTTGAAATAACTCAAATTTAAATTGAACATTATTTCTTTTGCAAATAATTAATTATGACAGACTTTAGTATTAGAATTTATGACTATTAATGTTTTTGTGTGTGTTTATGTGTTTTTGTAGATTTTTTTTTTTGTTTGTTTTTATTTGCTGTGTAGGTACTATGTGACATTACATTCTTTGTTATAGATTTACGAATATGTTCGTAATAAATTATTTCATGCATCGAATCATAATGAAAATTATACGAGCATCATATGAAAAATAACGCATTAGCCATAATAAATGGTCCTTTTTTATATTTATTTTTCTTTCATTATCTCGGACGTTTATTTTGAAAAACCAAATATGCTATAAGATGTAACATAAAAAACTTTACAAGGTACATCCAAAACCTTATTTTATATATATGCTTGTTTTGTTTTCCCAATGGACATTATTCTATATGACCAATATTCAACACTGAAAATATAAATATTTTTTAATCTCATCATTGAAAGACAATCAATGCACTGGTGAAAAGTATTTCTTATTAGAATCTGTTTATGCTTCAAGTTGACAAGCAGCAGACAAACGAAGAGACATAAACCAAAAGGTTGTATATTCAAAAAGAATTATAATGTGTTTAGAAACTTCTAAAAATTGCCTTAAGTATCCAATTATATGTAAAACTGGTGAAACATTATCATATGAGCATTATATTGAAGTTGTTCTTCCATATGCACAAATTGAAGGCCAACATCTACTTAATGATGATTTCGTTTATCAACAGGATGATGCCATATCGCATACAAATCAAGAATCATTGGCATAATGTGAATAAAATTTCATGCACTTCATAAACAATCACAGATGGTCATCAAATACTTATGATCTCAACATTCTGGATTTTTATGTGTGAGACACTAAAGGTGTATATATTAAATGAGCTGTTTAATGTATCTTGTAGAGTTTTTCACATTGCATATTATGATATATTTTGTATTTTCAAATAAATGAAGTAGTCGATGAAATTAGAAATAGAAAAACCGACCATTGATTATGGGTCACTCGTTATTTTATCAATAACTAAGTAATCGACAAAAAAATACTTGAGACCACTTATCGATGAATTAAGTGGTAGAATCATTATTTGAAATAATAGAACTTTTCTCTATAAAAATGTAAAAAGAGAACAATGTTGAAAGATATGTTTTTTTTTTTTACTTTTATTCTGTATTTCATTGAGATTATATTGAATATCTCATCACAGTTTCTTATTTTCAAGCACTTATGAAGATTATGATGTCTAATCTTGATGATTTATCTCTTTTAGGATAATAGATGAATATCTTGATATGATCGAAATATGAATAATTTGAAAGATAAATTTTTACACTAACATAAAAATAAAAGATCTTATTGTAAAAGTTAAAATATCAAAGTTTATAATAATTCATTTAGTTAATAGTCTTTGTTTTTACTTAAGGTATACAAATCAATACGAAATAAAATAAAATAGAAGAAATATGACTCATTTGGTTCACTATTAAGCAAGTCACAACTCTTCCTCGCAAAGGTCAATATTTGTCATAAAAATTGAAATTGAGATGATAGCCTGACTTTCATAATCGCTAGAGTTTTTTTTTTTTTATTTGGTAACTAGCTTTTGGTCAATATTTTTGATGATTTCCATTATCATCTACTTGAAAAGTATACTTTTTTCTGAAAAAGTAGGAAACATTATTCGTTTTTCTTCTGTTTATGATTTTCTAATCGTGCCTTTCAGAATTCTCGCAGAAACTCCATTATGGTCGTTTGTTTGTCTTTTTTGTTTGAAAGAGCAAGTGAAGATGAAATGTGCCTGATAGAACTCATTTTTTGAATTGATTCTTTCAATAACTATAATTTACTAATTGAGTAAATACGATAGTAGAATTTTTTTTTTTTTACATGTCAACATTTTGTACAATCATATTCACTAACATGTTATCAATAAAATATTTTGTTATACTGATAAAATAATATGCTATGTTTCACATTCAATCAATCAACTAAACATTGATAAATTAATT